GCCACCTACAACGTTTCATTTTTTTTATATTTTATATTAATTATTTAAGTTTTATAATACAAAATTTTGTCATGTACTCACAAATTACTTTTTTTTGCATTACTATGTAAATATAATATAATATATATATATATATACGTTTACTATTTCAAAAACCTTCTGTACGGAAATATAGATAGCAATATGTTTCCAAGTGAAAATAGCTTTTGCCCGGCATTGTTGCACCAATAAAAAGTCAGCCCTATTAGATTAATTCTAATAACAAAAATCATCAAATATGGATGGATTAAACATTGGGTTACCATCTAAAAATACGAAGTAAGGAGAAGTTTCAGCCCAACAGCTCTTAGGGCGTAAGGTTCTGATTGCTGTTAAAAATATTAAAAAAAAAAAAAAATTGTATTGATAGACGATTATCAGAAGAAACACAAAATTTGGCACAATCTTTGGCTCCTTCAGGGGCTCGCAAGGCTGTTAAATTAAAAAAAAATGAACGAAAAAATATGTTTTATGCATATTGTTGCCTAATATTGTATATTAATGTATGTGATAATAACTTTTAAATATTTATGAAGAGAAATTGTTGAAAAAAATCAACCAATTTTTTTATTTAGAACGGAGGGGCGCGCTGTGAAAAAGATTGGAAACTTTTGCATGCATTTTGATAAATTTTCCGCATTTTAATTATTTCTATACAAAAGAAAGTAGTTTGATTTTCATTCTTCTCAAAATGTACTTGTAAATGCAGATGACCAAATATTTAAATATTCTGAATAAAAATCTGTAATTTATATATATATATATATATATATATATATATATATATATATATCATTGCTATATGAATATATTTAAATTTAAGTATGCAGATGAAATACGACTTACCAAATTGAATTTCAAATAACAATACTCAATGTGAAATATAGCACTGACGCCATAGGCTAGAATAAATTTGTGCTAGTCTACAGTTTATTCATACATGTGTATTTGCTAAAAAAAATACAAAGTAACGTTTCTATCTTTATGTCTATATTATATTATTTTATAGATCCGGTTTTTTGTACAACTTTTGCATTTTTATTATTTCCAATATAAATTATTATACGTTTTATAAATAAATCAAGACGTTTTGTATTTGTTTAAATACAAATACATATTGTTTTAATGTGATCATATAGAAACCATCTATTATAGGTTACTGAGTTTATACTGTCTTTTTTGCCGTTTGCGATTTTTTCTCAAAATTGACTGAAAATACTAGTGTTCAACAAATATTAGCTTTTCTTTCATTTGATTAATAATGGTCAAGTAATGTTTTATATCATCCAAACGAACTGACAGCAAGTCTTTACAACACCACACATTTTTTTTTAATTTTATTTGAACAGCGATCAGAACTTATTGGTTCTATGAGCTGTTGTGATCATATCTTACAAACTACGTTTGTTTTATTACAGAAGGCAACCCAAACAGTTGTCACATCTCTGTATGATAAATTTTTATTACAATCTCTGTAATAGGGCATGTATGGTGCAACAATACCAGGTGAGGGCTATTTTCATTTGGAAACATATTGCTATTTATATTTCCAAGTGAAAATCGTTGTCACTGTTGCCTGACAACAGGCTGCTCGAAGTGGGTATCGAACCCGGGACTTCTGAAACAAGTCCCGTCGCTCTTAACCGCTCACCTACGGGCGAGCCCACAACACCACACATAAGATTAAAATGGATGCAATTAATAGATCTAACACATTAATCAATAATAAGTTGTTCTACCATATTATTTATGATAGATGTGTGTATGCATGTGTATATGTAGTCTGTGTAATGTACTTTGTTTATAATTGTATGTATATATTTGAGTTTTTTTCTTTATTATACCAAAATTTAATTAAGATATAAATTAGTGTATTATAAAGGGTGAACCACTGGGTTTTCCTTTTAAAATTCTATGTTATTTGTCAAACTAATTACTCAATGTCTTTCTATTTAAACAGATTGTAATTTATAAGAAAATAATATAAAAAAGTAATGTTTTACACAACCAAGTTAAACATCAACATCTAAAATATATACATATATGCAACAGCATAAATCTTTTCTAGTACTCCTTTTTTGCATTTATTACTTATAAGTGACGGTAGCTGTACAATACAGCTACATTTTTACACATTTAGGCACATTTCAAATTTCAAAATGATATAACAGTTCATTTATCACTTTGGTATATAATAATATTTGATATGTTTTCATTATATGAATTTGAGAGCAATAACTCCGCTAACATATGGTTCACATTTACGAAAGGGTGTGATTGATATCGTAAATTAAATTAACTTTTTTTAAATTATCTTTACGTATAAGGTCGACCTGTGCACAAAGGTCCAATTTGATTTTCAGTAATTATACCGACTAAAGCCAAGTAAAGTGAAACCAATATTGAACTATGTTCAGTAAAATTCCCAGTTAATTTCTAATTATAGAAATATTTTAGCTGTGTTTCTAAAATTTACAGCTATCGGTCAAACAGATACAATGTCTTATTTATAATTTTACTAGGATTTTACAAAAGTGTAGCTAAATTATTTAACCAATTCGAGATAAAAATTTTATGGGCAAAACGGTTACAACACATATAAAGGTGTGAACAATCAAAATTGATAAATAAAAAAATAAATTAAGTTGAAAAAGCGCCTTTACAAGAGATAAGTTAAATAATTAGTTCTTCCCAATCTGCTGATGAATATTTCTGACGAAATCAAAGTTTTTATGTAGTGTTATTTCTGTAAAAAACGTACTCATGAAATTTATATTTTGCATTGGTTGAATAATGTAACTATTATTTCGTAAAAATTCTTTAAATTAAAAATAAGACATTAGATATGTTTGCCTCCTGACTGTCCCATTTTACCCCGCCTGTGGGATAAAAAATCCAGGTGACAATTTTTTGAAAAACAGCCAAAAAACACATTTCTACAATGATTCATTACTTGGGGGTTTTACTGAACATAGTCAGATGGTTGTTTGTTTAATATGTGTTATTTGTTGTGATATAATTGTTTTGGTTTTTACAACATTGCTCAATTTCGACGTTTTTGCCCCTCATTACCATATATATATATATATATATATATATATATATATATATATATATACATTATATTTTTTTATCTTTCAATCTTTTCCCGCATTAATGAATTGTAAATCGTATTCCTGTTTGATTCATTAATTCCAATGATCATTGATGATTTTATTAGGCAATGAATAGCAATGATTTATATTCTGCGGTATAAATGGCTATAAATTACATAGCAAAATCTAATTATTTCTCAGTTTGTAATAGGTGTTTTGTTACTTTGCAATAATGTAAGCTTGAGAACATTTTACTTGGCGGGCGGGGAAGTTGTATAGGCAGATGTACAACTTAGTACAGGTTTATTGCATTCTCAGAATGTATGTACGACTTACAATTAGTCAATGTTACATTGTTTAACGGAACGATTTACTAGCTAAAAGTCAGTAAACTTTTAAAATACATTAACAAATCATGCTTGGACGGACGTTTCTACCACAACAGAAAAAATTGACCAACTTGAAATTCGAAGAAATAGAATTGAGATTGTTGGAATGGAAGTTAATTTTGTATACGGTAACGTTTATTGCTGCCAAAATAGCACGATTACAGAGCCAATTGTGATCTAAATAATTATTTATTATATATCCATTATATCCGTAAAGATATCAGAATTGTACTCCACTGAAACGCATAATACTGAAAAGAAAAGGAAACTGAATCGGACCCGTTCTGCAAAAAGAGTGCCTCCTGCACCCCGTCGTTGAGGGTGAAGTAGATACACAGAAACGAATGGAAAGAAGAAGAATGCAAATGATTGACGACACGAGAAGAGATAATGCAGGGAAATGAAAGCCGAAGCGCAGGATCAGGAAGCATGGAAACAGAAGTTTTGAAAGAACAAAATAAAATACATAAAAACGAAATGTGTAAAAAGGGGAGGGGTAAAAGTGTTAATGAGAATGATAGGCGACGAAGAGTAAGGGAATCATTTATTTGTGGTGGCTCTTACACCATGGACCTGCCTTTGGCCAGACTACCATTTATTATACTATCCGCAATGTCATTTTTATATACTGAGCCACTGCAAAACGTGGCTGGGGTCGGCTATTGTAATTATGAATTTTGAATAGATAAAAGATATGATTAGGAGGCGTTCGACTTTTTAAGAAATTTTGGACACTTTCTCCCTCTTGGTGATACGTGGTAATATTTAAAATTCCCCGGCAAACCTCACGTGTATTTTTAGTTGCGAGAAAAATGGTAAAATTTTAATTTTTTTTAAAAAATGTTTGGATTTTTTTTTTTAAATTCAGATAAAAAATAAATACACGTGATATCTTACTATACCTCTCCCTTCCCCTGTGATATTACGTGATTTTTTGTCAACCCCCCTTTCCCCTAAAATTCTCACGTGATTAATGGACGCCCCCTTATATTAAACATTTGTAGACAACTATCTATTGTGATTCTTGAAATATAGTGAAACTTGCTAATTCAAATTTATCAAAAATGAAATATAATATTTCATATCATAGCACACAGACTAACAAATTGCAATAACGATTATTTAAACATTTCAAGAACTTCAATACATAATTCATATTAATTGTTATCATCATAAATGGAGACATTAAAAATAAAATTCATATTCATGAAAACTTAAGATTAAATTATTTCATTAAAATTATATTTAAGTGTCTAAATTATATTCTTATTTTTATTATAACGTCATTAGAATGAAATGCTAATCATTAATATAATATTATTATATTAGAAGTAATATGTATAATCATTGATTATTGATTAGTTGAATTATTTTCTTTATCCTTTCTAGCATTATTTTATATCTAATTATTATTCAAAATCTTGTACTATATTGGGAGTAAATTTGGATCTGTACTTAAATATTGATATCTTTTCAGATTCTTTCACTTGCTGCTCCAAAACTGCGGGATCATGCCGAAGTTCTTGCGAAAAGGTAAGAATATAATTCAATTTATAGATTACAATGATCAATATAATAATTCTCTTATGATTGATTTTATTCAGTAAAATATTGTCGTGGTTGTTATTTTGTAATTAAAAAATTATAAAAACAATTTGTGCGGAGACTTATTATGAGTGAAACCAAATCTAAGGCGTTGGTGAAATTATCATCATTTTTCGGTTATTGTAATTAATTTTTACTAATTTTGGTCATTTGAACTGTAGAACCGTAACCGTGAATAACATTTTTAGGATATCACAATCGAAAACAATATTGCCCCAAGTTCAAATTAAAACTTTCTGTTGAACTATGAATTTAAAATTTTTAAAATTGGTCGACTTTAAGAGGCTTTCCTTTAAAAAAAATGTTTTAAAATGTGTTGGCAAGTTTCATTAAAAGTTGGCACATTAAATCAGGATTGTAAAATAGTAAAATACAAGATGATTTTATTATTGAGAAGTTTTGGGTAAAAAAAGCCTAAAAGTGGCATGATTTTTGCTAGAACATTTTACTTCGATCGGTTCGAATGTTTCTCTCTCGCACGGCAAGCATTTGAACTAATTGTGAGTAAAAGTACTAGTAAAAATACTACCACTCTTAGGATTTTATTTTTTTACTCTAAATTTTTCAATAATAAAATCATTAAGTATTTTACCGTTTTACAATCCTGATTAAATGCGCCAACTTTTGATGAAACATGCCAACAGGTTTTAGTACTTTTTTTAGAGCACGGTCTCTCAAAATGGGACGATTTTTTAATTTTAAATTTATAGTGCAACATAAAGTCTTAATTCTTGAAAACAATTGTGTTACTATTTTGACTATGGTCCTAGAAGTGCTATTTATGGTTACGGATGCAAAGTTTAAATGAACAAGATTAGTAAATATTGACCACAATAACCGAAAAATGGTCATAATTTCATAAAAGCTCTAGATTGCACTTAGAAGCTTACAACTTCTGAACATTGTTAGACATTTTTTAAAAAATTTTTTTTAGACACTTAGCTATATCTATAATGATTCCCATAATGGGCCGATTCTGCCGCACAACAGACCAATGTTATGGCAAGGCCATGTTACGCTCCAACTTCCATACAATTATGCTACTAAATCATACTGAATACTGTCAAAATGCCATGTATTTGCTGTGCATTCAGGCGTTTTACACATACACTGCAGCGTCAGTTGTATGTTATGAAGCTGAGTCAGAAAAACCCTGTTATTTAAAATCATTTTTTTGACATTTGTGCGGTCTCTAGGTTAGGTTTTCTGAGAACCTGAGAAAAACCACATGGGTTTTGTCAATATTTAGAACGAATTAGTGTGTATGTAAAGTTCTTCATAACATAGCCTGGCCATAACATTTGTCTGTAATGATGCAGAATCGGTCCATTAACGTCAATACTATCACCATATTTTCTCAAGGTCTAGGGCACTATATATATATATATATATATATATATATATATATATATATATACAGGGGCGTAACTACCGCCGTATCAGCCGTATCAAAAATACGGGGCCTCCGAGCCAGAGGGCCCCCAACGAGCGCAAGCAGAAAGCAAAACTACAATTTTTCAAAAAATTAAATAATTTTAACGTAGTTTGCATTTTCTTACGGTATCAAGAGGTATTGAACTTCAACTTGTAAATTAACGCTTTAAGAGAATTTATTTTTGCTGCAATATTTCTGCAAGCTCTACCAATCAATTCAATTAGTAAAGCTTTTGCACATACGATAAGTTAATATTCTTGTTAACAAATCTATAAAACTTTTTATCGAAAATTGGAAGTTTTATAGTTATATTTATAACATTTTTATATTTGTTTTTGTTACTACTTGAATTGTCTGCATGACGCGTAAGTTTAATAGTTAGATTTTGATAAATGTGATCAACTAAATCATTCTCAGATTTGTTTCTTTACTGTTATATTTCTCTTTTCTTTTCTTTATATTCCAGTAATGACTTACAAAAAACTAGTATTTTATTAATTTAAAAAGACTGTGCGAATTATGATATAAAAACTTATTGAAATCGTTTGCTAAGGAAGTACAAATTAATTGCAAAAAAGATGGATTGCAATAACTTTTTTAAAGAACAAAAGACAAAAGATAATGAAGCATTATTATGATCGAGTTATCACAAGATGAGAGAATTTTAGACTCGAAATCTTATTTTAAGTTATACTATTGCTGTTCGGATATATTAATTTCACAAACCAAACAAAGATTTCAAAACCTTTGCGACGCAAGTAGTAACATTTGTCTTTTTGAAATCGAGAATTAATAAACATGTCGACTGTCGGAAAACTGTCTATTGAATTACTGTAAAAAAATATTGTAAAATATCTCTTATGATCATGACCAATTGATAGTTCTAGAAATAAGTTTGATTACAGAAATCTAAGAAATTTATTTCATTAAGGTACAATGATAGATGCAAAAAAAAAAATAGTCTTGGATTCAGTTTTCCCAACGAAATAACAGTATGCATTTTTTCTTGGCCCTCAATTACAATTTGCAGTAAAAATCACAACTGCTAAAAGAATTTTTGAAAATTAAAACTAATTAAAAATTACGTAAAAACTTTAGGACAGAAATGTCTACCGGACCTGTATGTTCCAAGAGACAGAATCTTTATAAAATTTAAAGATCACTAAATAATTCAATTTTTCAAAAAAGGCAAGGAAAGTGAATATATATCTGGAATTATTTGTGAAAAATTCAGAAAATTAGATAGATAAATAAATATTCTTTTAATTTTATGTATTTTTATATTTTGTGAAAAGCAAAATTCTTCTTAAGGGGGCCCCCAAACAAATTTTGATACGGGGCCCCGTCAAGGCACGCTACGCTCCTGTATATATATATATATATATATATATATATATATATATATAATGAAATTATGAAATAGCAATCGGTTGGCTTAATTTTAACCATTCATACTAATTATAGTAAGCGATTCAATAGTATATCATTAATATTGTTACTATATATATATATTACTATATATAGTAATATATATATATATTACTATATATAGTACTATTACGGAATGGTAATTTTTTTTAAACTAAAGTCTGTTAATTTTGCAATTTTCAAAATGAACAAATGTTGGGCCATGACAATATTTGTTTTCTTATTTGCCTCGTCTCGGCATCGCGTTAGTTTACACTGCTCGGCGTCAAAGTGTTTTCAAATAGGTAGATCCGAGGCTAGTAGCACCACGTGTTCTCGAGTGTGAGTTAGTAATGTCCTTACTTGAATACTAATGCATTCGTGTTGACTGATACGTTCGCTTGTCTCAAACGATCATTAGATTTTGACTTTTTATGTTCAACTTAAATATGACATACACACGATACCCATATACACTAATGCCATTAGTCTAGTAAGAGTCCTATCATATATTCTTATGATTATATGTACAGACTTGCCTCGAGCTGCATTTATCACACAGTAATTTCTGCATCAGTTTTCCATAAATCGCAAACCTTGTCCAAACCTTCTTCCTTTCTCTTGATCCGTTACCTTCAACATTGTTAGCACTGCTCAATTATTTTTACACTATGTTTAACCAATTCTAGCTATAATTAAAAAAATTTTTTTTTCAATTTGTCACTATAGTTTTTAACATCTTGTAGAGTAAGTTATTGAAATTATAAAAATGCAAAAATTTTCAATATCTTTGTTATGTATTCGTGTGAACTGATATGTAAGTAGTCAAAAAAAAAGTTTGATTCGTTTTTTTAATACTCTATGTGTTAGAAGAGTCTAGTTTTTGGTAGAGGCAGGTTCAGCCGTTTCGGAGTTACGATAGCAAAACTACTAGATAGTTGGCGTTTTTACTATACACTTTTATGTACATAATTTGTACATGCACATAATTTTGCGATTTGCAACAATATTTGAGCATTTTATTCTTATAAGCTATAAAAGCACACATTTCAATGGATTTTTTATTTAGAGTTCCGTAAAAATAATGAAATACAAAAAATGACTCATTTTATAGATAAAAATATGTAGGTATTCTTTATAAAGAAACTTTGCAAATATTATTGTTATATTGTTGGGGTTTGGAACAGGATATATTTTTGTGAATCAATTTGTTTTCAAGTGGAAATACTACATATTAGTTGAAAGATGAGAAAATATTTCTAACAATTCTCACTTTTTTTTTTGCTAAATTCTAATTTTGATTGGTTGTTTCAATTTACCTTAAAGCACACAATGACATAAACCACTAATTCTATTTTTTATTTTCATATACGAGTAGTTCAAGTTTGTTCGCACAGCTTTATTTATTTGTCTGCGAAAAGCAATGTGCGAGTTCTTTTGGTTTTGCTATTTTTTAGTATTTTTTTAGTATTTTCGTAGTTCAAGTTTGTTCGCACAGCTTTATTTATTTGTCTGCGAAAAGCAATGTGCGAGTTCTTTTGGTTTTGCTATTTTTTAATATATGGCAAAAAGCGGAAATGGAACACACGATATAATTTTTGGGATTTTCGAATACTAAAACCTATTCAACAAGAAACAATATTACCTTAAATAAAATGATGGTTGATCTAGTCCTTAAAGCTTCGAGGCCATTCTATGTATCTAACAATGCATTTCGATAAAGATTTAAATACAGGCTATAAAAATATTATAACTGTTAAACGAAAACTTCATAGTATTTACTAGTTCTCAAAATGTACTAAATTACTAATTATGTATATGGCACGTACTTACCGAAAACGTCTGTGTACATAAATGCTAAGATCTGTGTCTATATCCATAAATTTTATCTCTATGCATATAATTTTATTATATTTAAGTTTCATGTCTGGTTGTAATGCACTTGTAAATAAAGTAGAAGTAATTATTCGTCAATGTTTTATGTGGCATATCGCACTTCAACTTTCATATTTTCTTATAATTTTTGGACATTACTATTAATTTTGGAGATTTACGAATTTAAGTTATTTTTAAGTGGTTATTAACT